ATGTTTTTTTGCCTCCTAACTATTGTCCATTGAGAACTGATATTAGGTACGATTTCCAGTGACTAAAGATTTTATAGTACCTACACTTGAACTCACCCTTTGTTTAAACAAATATGTTAAATCATTTGAATAGGTACCTACATACTTAACTTTATAGGTACCTACCCAAACTAAGAAAATTCCATATTTCGAAAATATTTCCACACTGAATGCATCGAATAGAATAAGCCAGTAAAATAAANTTTTAATTAGAGTCTATGTTAAGTGCAATTTTAATTCTCCTTTCTCTATTATGAAATTGACGGACATACATTAAAGGTTAAATTATAAATTTTAAGGAAGAGTTCGCTAATAGCGTTCTGACAGCTCTTCATCACTTGACTTTATAGTGAACCTACCTACATACCTGCTCAAGAAAATAAGCGACTTTTTAGAGTCTGTTGATAACACTTTCGTGGTTCGAACAAGTAATAATATGTCTTAAAACTAACATTTAAACCCATGATAGAGCAGTTAGAGTAAAGAAATAATGCTATTTTTCTCCAAGCGCATAATTCTGCGATGTTTTTTATTCCCCTTCGCGAATTTTAGAGATTTTTTATTGTTTTCTGCCTCCTATTCAATTTCCAGTGACTAAAGATTTTATAGTAGGTTAACACTTGAACTTTGTTTGAAAATCACCCTTAGTATACAACAAATATACTAAATCATTTGAATAGGTGCCTACTTACTTAACTTTATCGCACTAATTGCTGGGTAGGTAGGTACCCAAACTAAGAAAATTCCATATTTCGAAAATATTTCCACACTGAATGCATCGAATAGAATAAGCCAGTAAAATAAAAAGTGTTTGACTTGCTGTACAAATATTTAATTGGCCCACATAAAATAAGTAGTATTTCACACTCATTAAACATTCAACTTTGAGCTTATTATGAAATAGCGGTTATGAAGTAAAGTACGTTCAAGCCAACGTAAAGAGTTCAATGACAATATCGTGAATATCAGTAATCGATTATATTCAGGTTAATCGGACACATCGAGCGATTTTATTTGGATATCGCTCGATTTCGAACTTACAAAAGTTCGAAAGCCTTTATGTGTATTTAGTCCAAGCTTTTCGTTAGCAGAAAAATAATTGGTTTATACTATAATGTATAGTTACTAACTATAATGTACCTAGGCAATCATAGACCAGTCTCTAAAAGTAGGTACCTATAGAACTGTACCGAGCAAATGTACCTACCAGTTTATGAGTTTATTCCAATAATTTCTTAGATTAATAGTATGGTGTTTTTAGTTTATAATTCTTACGAAGAGAACTTTTGTTTCAATCAAAATAGCAAAATATACCTACATAGCTCTACATAGAGACAATAGTAAATGGAAATTGGCATTGTTTTCAACAGATGTACGAATGACGGCACATTTAGCTAAATAAGTAATGTACGAGTAGCATCATATTTAGCTGTGTTAGGTACGATTTTGTAAGAAACAAAGGTAATCTAACAAGCTTTTGTCTGTACAACGACCGATTGTTTGCCGGAATCAAAACGGGGCATGTCGCAACAGCTAATTTATTAAAACCTCAAATCAGCACTAAACCGCTAAACATAATTTTCACAATTCGTACTTTGTAAGGAAACCGCACGTTTTGTTGTGCTATCGTAAAATGCCAATAGCTTGTAACAGCTTCGTACCAGGAGCGTAATCAGGTTGGGGTCTTTCGGCCTCAGGGTCCCAAAGCAACGAATGAGAGATTCAAAATATGTCAAAGAGTCAGGCATGATTAGTTATTAGTCTGGAAAATTAAATTGTTAAAGTACCTAGCTGCTTACTAAAGGTAACAAGTCAAATGTTTTAAACCACTTAACTTTAATCGCTATACATTTTGATTAGTTACATCACTTTATTATTATGACTCTAGGATTAGGTATTCTTTTAATTTTTTTTCAAGTTTTAATCGTAGCTAAATTAATTACTACTCATTTATTACAAACGAACAATGTTATTGATGTCGTCATACCTACTTTTGTCTTATGTCTTCTTTGATCTTCGAAAGATAGTCGAAAGTAATGAAAAATTGGGATATTTTGACGCTCCGATCATGAGTAAAACGATACGTTATTGTCAGACCCCTGAAAATCGGGAAGTTCCACGAATTAAACGTTAATATTTTAACAATGTTAATAACAGGAAGGCGCTGGATGCAGGCTGCTACCAATCGGTCATTAATTTCGCCTAAAATTAAATTAATTTGCCTTATGGCATTAAGTTCGCCTAATGTTAATATTTTTGGCATTGAAGTATAAATAAATAAAAATCTGTCATTAACTATTTAAATCATTGGGAGACGCCTATGTTCAGCAGTGGACGTCTTATTGACTGAAATGATGATGTTGTTAAAAACGTTAATTTATAGGGCACCATGACATCTCAGTGTCAATACGGCCCTGGCATCGGAGAAATCACACCCACATCGCAGAAAGTAAAAGTGGTCGGGACTGTACACCAGCCGAAATACATTCTTTGATCACGGTCATCGTTATGTAAGGAATTCATTGACGGCAATTATTTGTGAAACACCTGGTGGCTCTTGTTAATAGTTGAAGATACCATCTCCGGTTTAACAATAGACAAATAAAAAGAACGTGAAACAAATAAAAATATGCTACTGCATTCTTCGGTGTTTATTTCAGGACTCTAAACTATGACTATCTCACTTGTTTAAGGAAAGGATAAGGAAACACATAAACTATAGTAAGATGAAAATGAATTATGGATAAGTTTATTGTACAATAATAAATATTAATGTTCTTATTGATCGAAACAATGCAATTCCTGCATTTTTTAATGCACACTTTGAGCATTCCACCACTGGAATGGTGGTTCAACCAGCATAGCTGGGCTCAGATGACTAGCATTTCAAAAATATAAGTATTGATTGATATTGATGGTAGGTACCTATATATCGTAAGCTAGCAAAAACAATTAATGCAGAATTTAATTTTGTGGTATGATATTTTACCTTAGATTAATCTATGCCAGTTGCTATTACCATAAACAAAGTAAGTAACTATAGATTACTTAAAAGCTCGTTGTCGTTTTGATTCTAAGCAAGTTAATATTCAATCCCTAATTTTTAAGTGACCCCTATGGTAACACACAACAGGAGTTTTGTTTTCATAGGGGTCACTTAAAAATTAGGGATTGATGGTGAAAACGGGCATAAGGTACTTTTTCAAGATGCATTTTATGTTATCAAACTTAAAAACAATGATTCAGTTTTGGCGCGAAAACGTCAGACAGAGTTACTTTCCCATTTATTATTAGAGGTAGATAAAAAACATGTTAATAATATCTAAAATAGAAAGTGTTAATACAAAACTTACCTACCTACTACTGCAAGCGTATTTACTTACACGAGATGGTAAGTGTCAGAAAATAAGCACTTTCATAATTAATTTCGTTGTAAGACTAAAATGTTAATCACCTTACTGTAAAAAGGACGGTATACATAATAATTAGGTAAGTATTTTCACATTCGAAAATAAGGAAAGATACGATTGTAATTTTTATTTTATTTTGTAACTTATGAACTTATCATTTTATTTGAAACACATTCTGAAGTTGTTATGTAATACTTAAAGTATCTAGTTAAGTTTAATATATTTCTTAAAAACTTTATCTTACATTACAAATATTTTAAAGTAATATATTTTAAAGATAAAAAAAGTTATATATTTATCATTAATTTGTGTCAATCCATGAAATTCAAATTGCAAAATACAAGTTGTTTACCTAATATGTAGGCAGTAGGCACACTAACATATTGAATTGCTAATTACTACCTAGTAGCAGTTTTGAGCATAATATGGAAATTCATCAATTTTTACGCGTTTTAATAATGGATCAACAGGTCAAGTCTCAAGAGCATCAAGGATTTGAAATAGAATTGTTTCAAGGTTGATACCTACTCTACTAGCTTAATACTGGATGATTTGCCGATTAAATAAGCAACAAAACTATTCGCAAGTATTCATTTCATTAATAGAAAAACAGTATTAAAATTGGTTCAGCCAAACGTGAGAAAATTGCGGAAAAACATAAAAGGTCAAGTCCTTTTTTAAGTCGGTTAAAATTAGTAGGATACTTAAATTGCCTACGCACTTGTGACTTGATATAATTCAAGTGATAACTTATTACCCGACTGCGCCCGAAGGAGGGTTATGTATTTCGAGTGTATGTTGTATGTATATTGTATATTTCTTTGGCACAGCCTACAGCCTAAACGGCTTAACCGATTTTAGCGTGAGAGGTATCGTTAGATTCGTCTTAATCTCTGGCTATATTAAAATTGAAAAAATTGATTTTAGGCGCAATAGCGTCTTCAAAAAAATTTTTTTTTCAAACCTATTGAGTGGGGTATCAAAATAAAGGGCTTTTTAAGTAGCTTATAAAAATGTATGTATAAAAAGATAAAAACAAGCCTTAGTGTTCACAAATGCAGTCGGAGGCATCAAAAACATATCACCATTAAAAGAATTAAGTAGTCATTGATGCCTCCGACTGCATTTGTGAACACTAAGGCTTGTTATCTTTTTAGTTCATTTTTACGCAGTTGGGTTTTTTTGCGATTGTAGTATTAATACGACACTCAGGTAATTGTAGCATTTTATTAATTTGATTTACCTATCTGATTGCGCTTTTTTTTTAAAGGTAACATCGTAATTATTAATATCTACTTAATTACAACATGCATTTGCAAAATTTTAAAACAACTTTAAAGCGCATTAGTCAAGTCAAGAGATTAACATAACGTGAAATAATATTTCTAAAAGTAGAGTCATTCATTTGAATACTAAAAAAATGTATTCAACAGTTGAATCTCATTCATATCATTAATAATTAGTTCATTAACTAAACTATAAAAGTAGTCATTATGAAAATGTTAGTGTTACTTAGCTATAACTTCTTTCTTTAGCATTTTAAAAACTTACCGGCGTCTCTCAAGTTGTTTGAAGTTCTTTGGGCACTGGCCAGCAGTACCAAACTCATCAGCAGCACACTGGGAATATTATTAACCAAAACGAACCTCATTTTCACTAATACTTAGTACTATCAACACACAAAAAAAACAATTAAGAAAAAATTACTGTCACTTCAATTTAAAACTTCGAATGTTCGAATTTAGAAACTCGATTTCATTTTCGCGCGGTCCGGCCGCTTTGGTAGCGCGTGCTTCGCGTCGTCGGTAAAGTATACTGAGAAGGCTGCGTGCGCGCAGGTGGAGAAAGAAGCACGCAAGCTCATCGCGACCGGTCGATGGCCCAAACAACCATAACAACCAGTACAATTAAGTCCTGCCTACTATAGTATAGTAGTTACAAACGGCATTTGAAGAATTCACCGGTCTGTGAGAAATAGATCTTTAGATCGGTAAGGAATTGACAACGATTAGTTTGTAATTGAGTAAGGCTTTTCAACAGAATGTTTTAATAGTAGGTAGATGCAACTTTGTAGTTAGTTATTTATCCAACACACATAATTTACTTTACGACATTTTTTAAGTTTTATTTTTGTTTATACATACAAAATCGTATAATAGTTTAAGTATCCGAAGCACGAACAAAGTTCTCGCTAGGGTATACTTACGCTGCGTAAATACATCCGGAGTTCTGGACAGGGTATACTTAAATGGTGTTCGAATAGGGATAAAACCCAGCTGTAAGTAGGTCTGAAAAACAAAATAGCGCCACTATACAGTTTTAGAAGAAATACGTTTACTATATTATTACGAAAGTCATTCGTGCTTAGGGTACAGTATTTGTTTCCGTGCACGAGAATACGATAATTTATTATTAGGTACTTAAGTAGTGACCTACCTCCAGAAAATAAGTTGAAACGGTCAAGAACTAAGGTTTAAGAAAGGAGTTACTTTTATCTAAGTACATCCTAGGTACATTGAGAGAAACTATAATTAGATAAATTATTTAAAAAAATATAATTAAACCTTAGCTTAGCGATAAAGTCTATGTAAAAGGTAAAATAGTTATGTGCGAAAAATACCACACTTTCAATCAACTTACGAGCAAAAGTCTTTGTGTTCCAAGCGATCTTAATAAGAACTGAATGACTACTTATGTATTGTATGTATCTATGGCAGCGGTTCCAGAAAGGTGGTCCGCGGAACCCTGGGGTTCCGTGGAAAGGCCGCAAGGGTTCCGTAAAAAATGTTATCCCACGTTTCGTGACCGACGTTGTTCGCTCGCACCGACTTGTTTACGCACAAGGGAGGGGCAGGGCGTGCGGGTGCGCACTATTCAGTGCGGGGGTTCCGCTAGGAAAAGTATAATCAATTAGGGTTCCTTGGCAAATAAAAATTGGGAAACCCTGATCTATGGTATCAATTTTAAGTTAAAATATCTCCTTTAAAATGGTACCATTTTTATTGATCTTCTATTAGTCATTTAGTTCTTATGATCGCTCGGAATAAATAGGGTGATTCCATATTTTTGCTCGCGAGTGTAGTTGAGCTACATCTACATAAAAGTTAAAAAAACCTATAAAAATACCTAAGTGTTTTGCGTATACATAAGTACTTGGTACAAAATAATTTTATCTTCCCTAAAATAATCACCTGCCTATAAGAGATATTTACCCTTGCATCTATCATAATTAATTGACTGTTTACTGTAATACCTACTTGTCCTTACCCTGGATTTTCTAATTAAGTATCTATAAGAAACACTATGGAAATTGCGTAGAGAAAATTGAACAAAATATTTGAGCTGAAAAAGTTTAAGTTAGTAAGCCTATCATTGATTGAATTTTAAATTTTATTTAACTATCACAATTCAGTCTGCAAAATCGAGATTATGTCTTCTATTCTTAACAATCATGATGTGCTCATGATCTTTGCTTTTACATAATATATTTTTGTAATTCTATTTTTTACCCCCCAGTGTAATTTTTATTTTGTGATTAAGGTTTTGCATGTAAAAAATCCAGACTCTTCCCTTCTTCTTGAAGGTCGCGGGAAGAGCCTGGATGCGGGCAGCGCAGGACTGTTCATTGTGGAAAACCTTGGAGGAGGCCTTTGTCCAGCAGTGGACGTCATTCGGCTGAAACGAACGAACGATGTAAAACATGTGAGCATGTAGTGCTTGCTATTTAGGAGATTTTTTACGAGTTACATACAAGCGTAAAATAAAATTCTACTATTATTAATTTCGAACTTTGGATTTTTTGTTTGCGCGCCATCGTTTGAATCCGGGTCACAGTTTAATGAGGGCTATCGTTTTAGCGCTCACCAGTTAGCGCCACTGTAGAGTAAGGTCCTGTCACTTGCTAGTAGCAAAGACAGTGGCACCAACTGGTGAGCGCGAAAGTGGTAGGAGGACTATCGTATTTGCACTCATCAAGATGGCGCCACTGTAGAGTAAGGTCCTGTCAATCGCCAGGGGTGCCAACTGTTAAGTATAAAAACGATAGCCCTCATTAACCGGATACCCTTCTTCTTCTTCTTCTGTTTTGTTGATGTTGGCAAACATGTCGAGGCCGACTTGATTTGCTTTATACCTCTGTGCCATGTGAGGCGTCAGGCGAGTTATAAAATGGGACCATGGGAAATGTTAATTATAATGATGGATGATAGATACCCCTTCCCTTCCCACCCTGTGGAGTCTCAGTAAAGTTGTGATACTTTACTGAGACTTCATAATGGACTACTTGAGAGAATCCTAAGAATCACGCTGCACTGTTTTGTTTCATTTGCCCACACTCATGCATGTTCACGAACACCTAATGGTTATTAGAAAATAAAACAAAACCGCTAACACGACATTTTAAATTCCCGCCAAAAAGTCCCGGATACTCAACCAACATAAAATTAAAAATACTACTCAAGAAAGAATCCAACAACCAATGAGAAGCACCGCATTCGTACTTACCCTATTCCTATTGGCTGATAGGTAGATAACGATTAACGGTATTTTTCGGAGCATGGTAGGGCTGCTGCGTAGCGTATAACGTTGTTGCGGTCCTTGTTATCGAACTAATGTCAGTCAGTCAGTTGTCAAAGTGTGATCGTCGTGGAGGGGAAGGCTTGTGATTTAGATTTAATTCAGTGTCAGTTTATTAGTGATCATGGCTGGATTTACAGAAAATGCGCTTATTCGTAAACTACAGGAGTTAAATTCGAGCCAACAGAGTATTCAGACTTTGTCTTTGTGGTTAATACATCACAGGAAACACCACGCTGCTGTGGTAAAGACTTGGTTCAAGGAGCTGCTAAAAGGTAACCTATTTTGTGTTATTTACTCGGTTTTCCCATAATTTTCTTTATCCTACCCTCTGACCAAGATATGTATGAGTGTGTTGAGGTTAAATTTAGTATTTTATTTGTCTTTCACAACTTTGTTAAGGTTACAACAACTTATTGTTTTGATACCAAAACGTTTTAGGCTTTGTCACCAAAAAAAGTTGCTTGCTGGCACGTTCTAGGTTTTTCTAAACATTCATCTAACACGTTTCTAGATTGCAAAGCTTCATACAGTTTCAATTGACATGTTTAATGTTGATATTGACCTTTTGATAATATTACTTCTTACCTGGCTTGTGGTATATTGAATTGAAATAAATACTATCTACACGAAATCATTATTATGGCCACAAGTGTTAACTTAAGAGTTAGCTGCCTAGTATACATTTGTTTGTACTGATGGTGCAGAAAAGTGAATTTCAGTATTTAGATGAGTAGATAATTGTCTACAATATGTATGTGTCAACAACCCATATCTATAGATATTTGAAAAAAATACCTACCATTTATGATTTTTCAGTAGTGAAGGCCTGATGTTTTTTTTATTGTTTTCTTGCCAAGTTCACTAGAAACAGTCAATACCATATTTCAACCATTTGACATAAATAGGCTAGTTTCCTAAAAAAAATTTTTTAGTCTGTCAATTTTAGTATAAAAAAATATTGGACACGTATATTTTTAATTGTCAATCAAACAAATAATTACAAAGTTATAGTGCGTTAAAGTTCTGCGTGATGTCACAAAGTGCTGCACTTTTACGCACTCACTGACGTCACCAGCCTTTTCTTTAGAACTTATCTCTTTACATTTTAATTACTTTTAAAAAGTGAAAAATACGTGTTGAGTAGTTTTTGATAAGCTAACTGACGGACTAATTAAAACTCTTGCTTTTTTGACCAGGAAACATCCCTATTATAATTATATAATTTATCCTATAGAAATCATAGGCAGTCACAAATTAAAATCATATTACTGTTATCCTTCTATCAGCAATCAGTTAATGTTTGTTTTGTTATATTTTCTGTACATAATATGAAATTAATTGTTCAATTGATAAAAATCAGCCTCAATGTCACTTTTAATTTGTTTGCAGCTAAAGATGCCAAACAGCTGACATTCATGTATTTAGCGAATGATGTCATACAAAATAGCAAAAAGAAGGGCCCAGAATATGGAAAAGAGTTTGGAGAGGTACTCGTAGAGTCGTTCAAGCATATGGCCAAGACAGGCATTAACGCTAAGACGAAGAACTCACTGCATAGAATACTTTCCATTTGGCAAGAGAGGGGTGTTTACGATGCTCAAAAAATACAAGAATTCAAAGAAGCTGGTATGTATATTTTCTTCCATTTCTCTGTGAATTTAAATATATTTTTGTGAAGTTACGTTAAATATCTAAATTCATAATAATTATTCACAGTTGATCCTAACGATGCAGTGCCAAAGAAGGTTAGCAAGCGCAAATCAGCTGATACAGAGACGAAAGAGCCCGAGAAAAAGCCTAAAATTGAAAAGGAGAGTCGGGAGAGACGTCGTAGTGAGACTAAAGTGGAAGTGGACGGACATATCGAGACTCACATCACACTCAGCCCCAGGACGCCTCCGGGAGACCCCCCGGAGCCAGAAGAATTAATTAGGGTAATTTGATCATATTTTACATTTTAAATCTGCATGCAACATGTTACTTAGTTCAAGTTAACTTTGAAGCGAATTTAGCCTATTGTTGACAAATTATTAAAAACAAAACCAATGTGTGTGACATTAAAACTTTCATAACTTGAATACTCATATTTTGGTGACAGGACTGGTATTATTTTTTACATTGGCCCCAATTCAGAATAGTTAAAATCTAAGCTATTTCTAATATCTCAAAATAGCACCTACTCAAGAAATCCAATTTTATTTCAGGCACTTCTGGAGCTTGAATCGAGTGCTTCCAGCGACGAGGCAGTCCGCGAGAGAATAGCGTCCCTGCCCCCAGAAGTATCCGAAGTGCAATTATTGTCTAAGTTAGAAGGTAAAATGACGCCAAAGTACCGCCTTAAACTCGCAATACATATCATAAGGCGTATGCAACACGTAGCTTTGATCATTAAAAGTTTGGATAGACAAATAAATGAAATAAATGAATTATAATTATCCTGAATCTATTGTTTCATTTTTTATTTTCTTTTCAAGTTTTATTCTTTTCATAAGTTTCACATGCACATAATGATATCTATTTCTCAATCAAAATCAGAATAATCCCACCTGTAAAAGAATTTATAATAAAAATACTTCATGCTTAAGTTTTATTACGTTTTTTCTTTGATTTTATGCCCTTCCTTTCTTCTTCATAAGATATTTTCTTCATCAGTGCAATATAAATAAATTGCCACATTCACCGTAAACTTCTTGAATTTAGATAAAAATCACGAATGTAGGTAAAACATAAAAATAACAGTTAAATTTAGTTTACCTACCCACGTCAGTAAAGTTTGCTTCTTGCCAGCACAAACTGTAGTTTTATTTTATTTAGTTTGGGACGGACGGTCAGATTCTGATATAACACCGTCTGTTCCAGATAAGGAGTCTGCGTTGAGTTTGAGTGCTGTGGTTAACTCAGCTGTGTCTCTGCTCGCTGAATATAACCTGAGGCTATCCGAGGAGTTGGAGAAAAGAAGGAAAGTGGCAGCCATGTTGAGAGACTTTGCTCAAGCGCAGAGGGATCTGGCGAAACAGGCTGAGGCTAGGCTAGAGGTGCGTGTTTTGACAAAACATAACTAGAATTAAATAACATATCCACAATCTACCATTTTGTTCTGTTCGCGAATTTGTGGTATCGAAATACAATACTGTACTGAATAGCAGTAATTATTTAGTTTTGTAACACCGTAACATTACAATCATAATAAACATTAGCGACATAATACATTGACCGTCACTTGAGCTCACTATGATGTATCAGCGCGCAGTGGCTAGTTAGTTCCCGCGGTTGCCAACAGATGGCGTTGTGTGTTACTTATATCGCGGTATAAGAGTTTTCTCGACACCGTATAAGGGTTTTGGCGAACTACTGTAAATAAGCTTCGGGAGTACACTTAGCATAAGGAGCGCTTAGCTTGAACGCTATAGTGTCTTGCTTAGGCTCTTGCAGAGTTACTCTCCGAACATACCGGGTCTACCTGTGTCACACCCGGCTTTTGAATACATTTTTGCTTCTACGTCGGGGTTTCACTTCACCTCACCATACGTCTGCCTATCGGCGCGACCCCTCATTACAGTTTTTTTTTGTTAAATATTTCGTTTCATATATGACCACTAAGTTTTGTTTCGTATCGATATACATAATTACGTAATATTAATTCTTTATCTAGGCATCTAATAAAGGAATAAATTCACAAAAATATCATTATTATATATTATTTTAGAGTTTACCTCCTAAAACAGTTTCAATATCGTTTCCAGGAATACAACGTAAAGCTACAGAAGATATATGCAGTAAAAGCAGAAGTCAAGTCTCACATAGACAATTTGCCAGACGTGTCCCAACTGCCAGATGTCACCGGAGGCCTGGCGCCTCTGCCCTCGGCTGGAGACCTCTTTAGCATCTGAAAACACATACAAGTATCCAGAAGACTAGAGGCAATAAGGTAGACGATATTCAATTTTAAGGGCATAAGGACGGATTGGATCAATCAATTGGACAATAGGGATGTTTCCTGGGTAAAAAAAGCAAGAGTTTTAATTAGTCCGTCAGTTAGCTTATCAAAAACTACTCGACACGTATTTTTCACTTTTTTGAAAATGTAAAGAGATAAAGCGTGCCAAAGAAAAGGCCCGTGACGTCAATGAGTGCGTAAAAGTGCAGCACTTTGTGACGTCGCGCTGAACTTCAACGCACTATAACTTTGTAATTATTATTTGTTTGATTGACAATTAAAAATATACGTGTCCAATATTTTTTATATTAAACTAGCTGACCCGGCGAACTTTGTTCCGCCTTAATGGCAATAAATAGGCAGACTTTTTTTTTATTTCGAACAGGATAAAAAGTATCCTATGTCCTTCTCCTGGCTCTAAACTACCTCCCTGACAATTTTCAGCTAAATCGGTTCAGCCGTTCTTGAGTTATAAGTGGAGTAACTAACACGACTTTCTTTTNCTTCACGGTGAAGCAAATATTCACTGCACTTCTTGGAGAAGTAATTATTCACTAAAAATGATCTTAATCCAATTTGTAATATTTGACCTGGAAAACAGGCGTTATCATATTGTTTATGGAAATAAACAAATTTCACACATAACTCTGGGGTCTCCATTAAAATGAAGTCTTTATCAGCTCACTAATATGAAACTACAGGACATAATTATGCGTTCATCTGGGTGCTTAGCAGTCACACAGTGTTTTAGAAACCCTCAAAATCGGACATGATTAAGTTAATGCCATGAGTCGATAGCTTCTTATGTTTCAATTACAAGAGTGAAACTCACGTGTGCTCATTTTACTTGGTTTTTGAGAAAAAAATTGTGAAAGTTGGCCGTTTTTAAAATTCCTAAAAATGAAAAAAACATTTTTTCAATAATTAGGAGGGTTTGTAAACTTGTGATAAAGCTGATTCGATTGATCATTAAAAGACGCATGTATTGTACTTTATTTCATTTCTACAAGTCAAGTAGTTCCAGAGATTTTAATTATTTTTCATTATTTAGACTTTATTTTTTTTCTTCCATCCTAAACGGAATGCGCAATTTTATTTCATACTGAACAATACTTTGGTATAGCCTCTATGTAGAAATATTTTTATCTTCTGTGGATAGTGTCTTGTACCAGAGATGTATGAATTTTTATTATTTTTATTTTCGCCTATACAATTTTTTATAGCAATGTTTCATCTACGCATTGAAACTAGCTGACCCGGCGAACTTTGTTCCGCCTTAATGGCAATAAATAGGCAGACTTTTTTTTTATTTCGAACAGGATAAAAAGTATCCTATGTCCTTCTCCTGGCTCTAAACTACCTCCCTGACAATTTTCAGCTAAATCGGTTCAGCCGTTCTTGAGTTATAAGTGGAGTAACTAACACGACTTTCTTTTATACAGGGTGTTAGGTAAATGGGTATATGAGCCGGCACTAGCCCATGCTAACATGGGCATATAAATGGTATGGTGAAGTCAGAAATTTGATATCATTATTTTATTTTTTTAAATATTCATACAAAATAAATTTTATAAAATCCGATTTGTATGAAAATTAAAATAACTAAAATGAAGATATAAATTTTCTGACTTCACCATACCATTTATATGACCATGTTAACATGGGCTAGTGTCGGCTCATATACCCATTTACCTAACACCCTGTATAATAAATTTGCCGGACTAAAAAATTTTTTTTAGGAAACTAGCCTATCGCGGAGAATTTAGCTGAATTTCAAAGTAATTTAAACTTTTATAGGCTCAAGAATGCACTTTACATTATGTACCACATAACTGAACTTACATTCCGATCGAGGTAACTGCGTACCTTGCTGGAATGCGACTCTCCCTCGCACTTACCACAGTAGATATATGAGCTAAAGCAGTACGGAAACTTAGCCCTTTCGGCGAGTTAAATACCTACACTTCAACTGAGTGTTAGGGTTGGCACTCTTAATCTTTATAAAATTAATAAAGTTCTGGCTTACTTATTTATTAAAAACGTTTATTTAGGTTTTTTAATTATCAAATACCTATTGGAATAAATTAATTGACTAAGTAGTTAATAAAAAAATAAAACGTTAATTAGGTTCTATAATGATCGAATACATAATCGAATAAATTGATTAAGTACTATTAGAGGCCGGTAGAAGATATTCTATTCTCATAAATAAAATACCGGATACTTACTGATGCCGAGTTCAAGCAGCCGTATACTACGCAATACACTCTTGGCATGTTTTTTAAAAATACAGCGGACAGTGCATGCAATAAAATTATTATTAAAAACAACGCGCGCGACACTCGCGACGGATGGACTGCGAGGTTCGCTTAGAGCTCGTGTAAAGCGTGCGTCTGTGTGCGTGAGTCTGATTTCGAGCGTTTGTATGAAGCTTCCGTACTGTTTGATTTATCGGGTTAGTCCCAACGGCCCCGGTGGATCTGCCCCGGCAACGAGGCGGATGGGAAAAAGTGTTTCAACGACCCCGGTAGTCATAGTCTTAGCGTTCAACGGGGTGGATGGAACACATCAAGTGTCAACCACCCCGGTATATCGTTTAACGGGGCGGATGGATCAAATCAAGTTTCAACCACCCCGGTATTATTTTATTTTCGGTATGCAATATCGAGGTGGAACCTTTTAGATCTGTGTCATCCGTCACGTTTAGTGAAATACCGGGGTGGTTGAAACTTGATTTGATCCATCCNAGACGACTCGCTATGTAATTGCCTGTATTTGTGTGATGTCCATTGTAATAAATGTGTCTTTCTTTCTTTCTTTCTTTCAACCCGGTATGTCTTTAATCCAGCCGGGCCCGGTTGCATTCGTCGCTAACCCTGGGCCCGGTGGATGCCTGATATCTCTAATCAGATGGCCTAGCACATGCCTAAACTTCTTTATTAACAGGTCTTAGACCGATGGAGCAACAACATAAGCTACCGGCAACTGGTGATCTCCTCCTGCATTGGAATTCTCCAGCTCTGGTGGCATCCCTACCTCTACGACCTGCAGAAACTGCTGCCCTTCATATTCTTGTACAACCTGTTCAGTATCATCATTGGATACCCGATGTTCTACCTCGAACTGGCGGTAGGCGTGGTCACTAAGAAAGGCGTGTTGAGATGCTGGGACATGGCGCCTATGGCTAGAGGTTGGTGGTTCCAAAATGCACTTTCTTCAGGTTTTTTGACCAGGTTTCAAAGTGATGTTTTTGTATTTTAACTGCAGGTAACTAAATTATTCACTCATTATTTTGTCGTGCACCAACTTTCAGCAGCAAGTCATTCACCAGTGAAGATATGCCTCCCCCAATGATTTCCATATCATCATCAGTTCATTTAGATAGTCTCCGTTGCCTCCACTTATTAGAGGCAGATGAAGGATTTGGCCCACACTCCTCACGTTGGCCACTGGCCAGCGGCTAGACGGGCTAAGGAGGGGGATTTCGAAACAGAAAAAGTTACTTACCTTTTTGCCTCCCCTTCCCGTTAGTCTTCGAATCACATCGAATTCGCCATGCTGTACTCTTATGCTTCTCCATAACTCTTGGAACAGCTGTTGCTATCTAATCCAATATTCTCCAGGCATCAGCTTCGCCATGCTAGCGTGCGGCGTGTTCACGGCGCTGGCCCTCAGCGCAGTCCATTTCACAATCGCATCATAATTTTAGTCATAGGACGTGCTACTAGTGTAAGAGTGTGCCAAGAGATTTAAACCCAATGTAGGCGCACGACTCTCTATTTTACCAGAGGAAAGTGGAGAATTTTACCCATATTTATGCTTCCCGATGAATCTTGGATGTCACTTGAATGGGGAGGCTTTCCATTTAGAAAAATAAATTACTTTTGTGCCCAAAACTCTTGGAACAGCTGTTAATATCACTCCCCACGCATCAGTCACCATGCTATACCTACTCTTACGCTTCTCCGTAACTCTTGGAACAGCTACTTACGCTGCTTCTCAGGCATCGGCTTCGCCTTGCTATGCGCATCGGCGCTGCTGGTGCACAGCGGCCACTCGTTCCTGCCGTGGCTGCACTGCGCGGCATCTTTGTACTTCCATTTCACAATCGCAACATCATAATTTCAGTCATAGGACGTCTACTAGTGATCTAGTGAACACAGGTCAACTCCAAAGATTTCGCCAAGAGATTTAAACCCAATGTAGGAGCACGACTCTCTATTTTACCAGAGAAAAGTGCCCAAAACTCTTGGAACAGCTGTTAATATCACTCCCCACGCATCAGTCACCGTGCAATACTCACGCTTCTCCGTAACTCTTGGAACAGCTACTTATGCTGCTTCCCAGGCATCGGCTTCGCCATGCTAGCGTGTTGCGTGTTCACGGCGGTGGCCGCCTGGTGCCTGGCGCTGCTGGTGCACAGCGGCCACTCGTTCCTGCCGTGGCTGCACTGCGCGGCATCTTTGTACTTCCATTTCACAATCGCAGCATCATAATTTCAGTCATAGGACGTCTACTAGTGATCTAGTGAACACAGGTCAACTCCAAAGATTTCGCCAAGAGATTTAAACCCAGGAGTACGACTCTCTATTTTACCAGAGAAAAGTGCCCAAAACTCTTGGAACAGCTGTTAATATCACTCCCCACGCATCAAAGTCATCATGCTATACTCTTACGCTTCTCCGTAACTCTTGGAACAACTGCTATCTAAACTGATATTCTCCAGGCATCGGCTTCGCCATGCTAGCGTGCTGCGTGTTCACGGCGCTGGCCCTCGGCGCGGTGGCCGCCATAACTCTTGGAATGTCGCTTCCCAGGCATCGGTTTCGCCATGCATTATGTTTTCGCTTCTCCGTAACCAGGCATCGGCTTTGCCATGCTAGCGTGCTGCGTGTTCACGGCGCTGGCCCTCGGCGCGGTGGCCGCCTGGTGCCTGGCGCTGCTGGTGCACAGCGGCCACTCGTTCCTGCCGTGGCTGCACTGCGCGGCCGCCGCTCGCCCGGCCTGCGCGGCGCGGCACCGCCCATTAGTGCAAGGGAGCGAGACGCCTGCGCAGTCTTTCTTCTTGTGAGTAGTTTCCACTTCTTCTTTTCGTGTCGACAACAAACCTACACAGTGTCAGCCCAAAACTCCGCCACAAGAGTGAGAGAGGCGTTGTCAGCAGCACTCATCCAATCCATTCAATGCAATTGCTTGGGCGCTCAGGGCACGACATCAGGTGCTTCATCGACTGGGGAACAAAACCAGTTTCCACTATCAGCTAGGTAGGTACTTCAAACTCATTCTTCCTATTAATTTCGTGAATAATTTACCTTTCCTTGGGACAAACTGGCCTTCACTGGTTGAGTTTTTATTGGCAGTCAAGCAATATCTGATGGCGAATGCTGGAGTAGCATACAATAGGTGTTAGTAACGACAAGGAATAGTCCTGTTGTGAGTATATCTATATATCTTCTACTTAACTCACGAGCACTTTGATTAGATGCTCCGTCAGTTATTTTTATTTACCTATATGTATACCTATCTGATCACAATGGTTTGCATTGCTGGAAAATCCATACCTACCTATCCGGTAGTAAGAACTCTGACTTCGATGTGAACGAATCTTGGAAAAACTGCGAATTCTTTTTAGTAACTTCGTCCTAAGCCTGAAGCGCGATGGCTTGGAAGGCGGCCTCGGAAACGTGGTGTGGGAGCTGGCCGTCTACTTCGTCATCTCCTGGGTCCTCATCTACTTCATCGCCGTGAAGAAGATCTACAGCTATTCGAAGGTATCAGTTCTCATCAGAAAGTCAAATTGTTTGAAATTAACTAAAATATAAAAATATGCCTGACTAACTTAATCTTATAATAAGTGCACATTATGATGCTACACCCACAAGTAGATAGGTAAGGCTATGCAATTAGACGAAAAATATTTTAATGGTGCGTCCAGACTGGGCGAATGGGCTCGCGCGGCAAACTCAACATCCTGCTCACTTAAGAGCAGAGTGAGCAGGATGACCAGCGTGCTGCGCGAGCACATTCGCCCAGTGTGGACGCACCATAAAATGAATATGAAGAAGATAAAAAGTTTCATTTACCTACTAGATACCTACTAAGATAATTTTTGCACAACTCAATCATATAACTTACCTGTATCTCTGCGCACGCGCATCCATAACGTAAACACAATACTTAAACACTGAAAACACAAGGGCTTATATTACTTTCAGCTAATCCTGTTCAATTTCGTTGCGGGTCCAATGACGGTTTAACTTTCCCCCGGGATAATCTTGACCTTCACTGGTTGGGTTTTTATTTGCCGGTCAAGCTGTAGATCCTGGCTAGACAGGAGTTGCAGCGGTAGGAATAGTCTCGTAGTGCTGTTTAAAAACATGATCACACTGTCTTCTCTCTACCACTTCCAGCTAGTGCTGTTCAAAGACGTGATGGCGTACTTCGTGGTGGTATGCTTTGGGCTGGGCGCGGCGCGGCTTGACGGCGCAGCCGCCATGTTCAAACGCTGCGACTGGACTGTGCTGTTGAATAACATGCAGGTAGGTTCAATATTTTCGAACCACCTACAGAACCTAAGTTAATATCAGTTCTCATTGTTTTGCCAGAGCTTAATAAAAGGCGTGCATACTGTTCGACGTTTATTGCCAGACTGGTTTATAGAATACCCGCGTTACAATATATACCAACACCTTCACCCTTAATTAACATTAATTTAAACTTATGACTAATTATCTAAATAGACAATATGTAGATTGTCTTAAGTATCACTATAGTGATAAAGTTACCTTACATTAATACTTATTCTAATAGTAATAGACTCCAACATAAAATCATATTCAGAGTATTTAAGTACACTTATAATATTTAACAATATTCGTCCCAACCGTATCGTACAGGGCGTTTAATTAAACGTTTATTGGGTCTTACATTCTCTAGGGGCGAAACACTACTTTCCACTATTGGTACACTGGGTTCGCTTATTTGTTCCGGTGACTTTGTTACGTCAGGTGACGCCGGCGCCATCTCCTCCGAGGAAGAAGAGGAGCGCTCCTCTGGTACACTCCCCTCCCTCTCAGTCACGGGGACCACCAGGGAACTCGCTCTGCGCGTTGGCGGTATACATCTACTGTCAGGTGCCTCGGATACCCTACGCCTTAATTGGTCGACGTGCCTATGTACCTCGGTTCCATTAACACACTTTACCCTATAATCTGTATTGCCTAAAATTTTTGATACCTCACCGGGGATCCATTTGTCCCGGGAACGAAAATCACGACACCAAACATCATCGCCTTGACGGAGCTGACGTTGTCGTATCAGTGTACAATCGCCGTTTTCCCTTACCTGCTTGTCACCGACACGTCCCGAGCGGTCAGGTTTTAGTCTATCTAAACGCATACGTAGATTCCTACCTAAGAGAATTTTGGCAGGACTGTCGCCCGTTGTATAATGTTCAGTGTTTCTGTAAGCAAGTAAAAACCTATTTAGGGCCGTATCTATATCTACCTTCTGTTTAATAGCCTTTTTTATAACTCGTTTACATATTTTAACCGAATTTTCAGCTGCTCCATTGGAAGCGGGATGATACGGTGCTGAAAAAATGTGGTCTATGCCATTATTCTTCAAAAAGCTGTCAAATTCAGTACTCGTAAACGGGGGTCCATTGTCGCTAACCACCTGTTTTGGTAGGCCGAACCTCGCCCACATGTCGCGTAAAACTGAGATGACTGCTCCGGCGGTAGTACTTTTCATTTTTATAGCCTCGATCCACTTTGAGCATGCATCTACCACTATTAGGTAAGTCGTGCCAAACATGGGCCCTAAGAAATCCAGATGCAGCCTAGACCATGGGCGGTCAGGCCATGGCCAGGGACTCGGCGAGTGCGCCGGCGGCGCGTCCGCCACGCTGGCGCATACGGCGCATCGCCGGCACGCCGCCTCCACCGCCTCGTCCACGCCGGGCCACCACACGTAGCTGCGGGCTAATGCTTTTGTTTTAACTATGCCCATGTGTGAATCATGCAACTCATCTATTACTCTATTTCTACAGGAAGCTGGGATGACAACGCGGTGACCCCACATAATGCACCCTAGTTCGCAATACAACTCATTTTTTCTATTCAAATAAGGTTTAAGCTCTTTTAATTCTACATCAGCAGGCCAACCATCCGTGATATAACTCCTTACCCTACTTAGTATGGGATCAGATGAAGTTTCTTTCTTTAAGATTTTATAGTCCAATAAGAGCGCTTCAGTAGCAAAATGTAAATATGTTTGCTCGGGAAGTTTTTCTTCCGTGGCAACGGTGTCATCTTTGTGAGTTTTAATTAAGCGCGAGAGAGAATCGGCTGTGTTTTTGTCGGTATTAATATATTCGATTTGGAAATCATAAGCTGAAAGTTTGATAGCCCACCTTTGAAGGCGACTCGCCGCCGTGGTAGGTATTCCTACATTAGGGCCAAATATGCTCACTAGGGGTTTGTGGTCTGTGCGTAATATAAACTTTCTCCCGTACAAATATTGATGGAACTTCTCTACAGAAAATATAATCGCTAGTGCCTCTTTATGAATCTGACTGTAATTTGTTTCCGCCGAAGTGAGTGCGCGCGACGCGTACGCGACCACCCGCTCCGAGCCGTCGGGCGCGCGCTGCGCCAGCACCGCGCCCAGCCCGTGCGCGCTGGCGTCGCACGTCACTACAGTCGGCCACGCTATATTATAATGTACTAATACGCTTGTACTGCATAGTAATTTTTTAATCGTCAAAAAATAATTATTTTCCTCTTTTCCCCAGTAATAGTGTTTCCCTTTCTTTAATAAGTTATACAGTGGTGATAAATATGATGCAAGGTTTTTAACAAATTTCCCATAAAAGTTCACCATGCCTAAGAATGATTTTAATTCCGTAGTATTCCGTGGCGGAGGCATGTCAATTATTGGTTTAATTTTTTCAGGATTGGTTCTTAGGCCCTTCTTATCTATAATAAATCCCAGATATTCTACATGTTCTGATAAGAAATTGCATTTACTCTTTTTAATTTTAAGCCCGTTGGTCTGTAAAATTTCTAAAACTTGCTCAATAGTTTTTAAGTGACTAATTATATTTTTGCTTTTGATTAAAATATCGTCGTAAAATATGACTACATCTGACATACCTTTAAAAAGATTTTCCATAAACTTTTGAAAAATTCCTGGGCTCGAAGAAAGACCGTACACCAAACGGTTGTATTTGAACAGTCCTCGATGGGTGTTAATAACTGTGTACTTTCTAGATGACTCATCGAGGATCAGCTGATTATAGGCTTGAGAGAGATCTAATTTAGTAAAATATTCGTTCCCACATAGGTCACTAAACAAGTCCTCAACTTTTGGAACCGGGTATCTGTCGACCATCAAGACACGATTCAAGGTTACCTTATAGTCCGCACATAGACGTATACCGCCATCCGCCTTTCTCGCGATCACCAGAGGAGTGGCCCAGTCGGAGCGCTCCACGGGCTCGATGACGCCGGCGCGCAGCATGGCGTCGAGCTCGGCGTCGACGCGCGGGCGCAGCGCGTACGGCACGGGCCGCGCGCGGCAGAACACGGGCTCCGCGCCCTCGCGCACGTGCAGCTGCACCGCCGGCCCCGCGAAGCGACCCAGTGTCCCGTCGAACAATGACTCATGCCTGGAAATTATTTCATTCAATTGTTTATTATTATTGTCTTCTCTTGCGATGTTCACATTGTTTACATTTATTTTAGGTATTTCGATATTTAATTCTGAGAGCCATTGACGACCTAGCAGACTGGTAGTGCCGTTATTTATTACATACAAATCCAATTGTTTACTTATGTTTTTATATTTTACTTCCACCTTGATATAGCCAAGTGGTTGAATTATAGAACCATTATAAAATTTTAATTTTAATTGACAAGAATGAAGAGGCAAGTTACTATAGTTGGTCTGATAAGTAATAGAACTAATACAAGACAAGGCAGAACCGGTATCTATTTCCATGTTTAAAGACTTCTTCTGTACTAAAAGAGTGATACATACCGGTCTGTATTTACTTATAGACATTTGATACATCGGTTGCTCGTCATCCTCGTCATCGCTTTCTTTGTCGTCGACCCCTGGTATCGACGCCAAGCAGCCGTCGTCGTAATTGTCCTCTACCGTGCCGCCGCCGCCGTGCTGATGCACCCAGTACGTGTCCGCGTTCCGGTCGCTCCCGGAAACATGTCCGGCTTGGCCGCGGCTTTTTCCGCGCGTCGTTGCTGCGCCACCGTTGCCGCTACGCCTTCCACGCCATCCTCCGCGACCCCTTCCAGTGAAGGTCACTCCCCGTGGTTGGTAATTGCTAGGTGCCCTCGTCATTTCGGGTCTTGCACTTGCACTTTTTTCCGGACACATCCTTCTTAGGTGGCCTAAATTCTTACAGAAACTGCACTCGAAGTTTTTATATTTACAGTTTTCTGTCTTATGTCCGTTATCTCCGCACGCCATGCACTTTAAATTATTCTGGATCTTATTCACCGTGACTGTAGAACTAATGTCGCGATCGACAGCGCATGCATTTTTTTCGGCCGTTTCCAATGTTACCGCCAACTTGACCGCCCGATTAAATGCTATGCAGTCATCTTCCGCGAATAACCTTTGTCTCGTGGTTTCACTTGTTATTCCACACACGATTTGGTCACGTAAGTTTTCTTCTAGGGTCGAGCCGAAATCACAGGGTTTTGCGAGTCTCTTTAGCTCAGTGACGTAATCAGCTACCGATTCTCCGTTTGCTTGTCGCCGTTGCCGAAATAAGTATCGTGCCGCCAAGATTGATGGTTTAGGTTGTAGATGATTCTTCATAAGAGTAACTGCTACTTCATAAGTTAACGTCGATGGTTTTTGTGGACTCGATAATGTAGACAATAATTGATACGCTTCCTCCCCCATCACCGCAATTAAAGTGGGTAATTTGAGGTTATCTTCAATTTTGTTCGCAAGAAAATACATTTCTATCCGCTCACAATACACTGTCCAGTTCCCAGATTTCACATCAAATTCTTGAATTCGTCCCACGCCCCCCATGATAAAATAAAACAATATTTCTGCTATTTAACGCACACAACAATTTTCGCCCGGTCAGTTTGTGACCACGTGAGTCCGCCTGTCGCCAGTGACAAATAAAAGGCGTGCATACTGTTCGACGTTTATTGCCAGACTGATTTATAGAATACCCGCGTTACAATATATACCAAGTAGCAGAGTAAATACAAATGGTCATCTTCATAGAAACGCACCGAGCGCGGTTTGTATGTGAGCGCGCCAATATACGTATGCGGCGCGCACGCACACACTGACAAAATTCGGCGCAACCACTACTGGCTCCCCGGTAATCCCCGCTAAATTTTGTCAAAGTGTGCGTGCGCGCCTTATACGTGTTGGCGCGCTCACATAGAAACCGCGCCCGTGCGTTTATATGAAGATGACCTACTCATTTGTATTTACTCTGTTAAAGCCCGGTCCGTGACCAGCGCCCGCAGTGAGTGTGCGAGCGCGATAGCAAAATAATTACGCGCGAGCAATAAGTAAGGGTGGGTAGCTTGAGGTCATTGGACAAAATTCTACGTGCTCACGGACCAGACTATAGTAGCTAATATGAATGAATAAACAACAAGCTGTACCTAAATGGTTCTTCTCACACACACATTTTTGAAATCTCAAGGTATAAGTAAAGTAAATAAATGTATCTCAAAAATCTTTAGAAGAGAATGGAAATGAATAACATAGCTTAACAGAATAGTTTAAAAAAAGGCTAAAATACACTCCATTTATTTAAATAATACATTTGGTAGGTACTTACCTACTTACTTTAGTTAAGGGGGTTGAAAAATTCGCCAAAACCGTGTCTGTTTTGGTCTTCTAGAGAACTTCTAAAATTTTAGTTAGAGTCCCGTCTTTCTTTCCCTTATAGATCTGGCGCGACGCAGTGGAATACTCTATCATAGAGATGACCGTCTCCCAGGGTTCCCTCGTCATGCTGGGCTCGTACTGCCCCAAGCAACAGCACAAGCTCGGCACCACGGCGTTGCTCGCGTTCGCCGCTTCGAAAACCAGTTCGATGTCGAGCGCTTTCATATTGGGAGCCGCCCACGGAGCCTTGCAGAAGGATTATGATGTTAACAACACTAACATTTGGGGCGGTGAGTCGTTTTTTAATGAGTCCCATCGAGGTCCTTCTATAGATAATTTCATCCACCAAGACGCGCCCCACCATTCTTACGCTAATGTTTGTGTTAACGGTAGGTACACGCTAAATTATCTGAGTGCATACGCGCACTACAATAATGAAGCTCGGATTGCTCGGATCAAACTCCCCGCATCCCGCGCTTCCCTCGACCAAAAATTTATGGGGCGCGTCTTCGAGGATTAAACGATGTTTAGGTATTGTCGATTAATTTTGTTGCGGGTCCAATGACAGTTTAACTTTTCCCCGTAACACTGACCTTCACTGGTTGGGTTTTTATTGGTGATCAAACTGTAGATCCTGGTAACACAGGAGTTGCAGTTGTGGGAACGAGAAGTGGGAATAGTCCCGTAATGAGTTATGCAACTTTGAAATTAGGGATAACATCGATGTGCGTAGTGTGTGACACTGAAAAGGCGTTGTCATGAAGTTTAGGTAAATAACTTACCTTCGTAGCGTTGCAGCGTTCTACACTGCTCCTACCCTACACTAAATCGTCAAACCCGTGACATTGACAGGGGGGCCACTGTCTATACTGGATCGCTGGTTCTGATTTTTGCCAGTTGGAACCCAGCGATCCAGTATGGACTGTGGCGCCCCCTGTCAATGTTTCAGGTGGAACGGTTCAGTGTAGTTTATCTATACCCAGTGTCCATTTACGACGATCAAACTCTGGACATGTCTTGGCAATGGTTTTTTATTGCAGGATCCTCCACATCGATGGTGATTTGGTCCGACTACGTGGCCAGGATACCTGGCAGTCAGTTCTGGTCGTGTCTTTTATTCTTCACAATGTTTGTTCTGGCAATCTCTTCAACGGTAATTTACTATTATGTATTTTTAGGTCCCTATGTATGCCCCTCTTTGCTGAAATAAATATTATTCTACGAGTAAGTAATTTAAACGAAATCTAGTACATTTTGATTTTTCTCGTTTCCAGGCTCTTCTGGTACAAACCATAATGTCAACGCTGACCGGCCATGCGATCCGAAAAATCACTTGGGCCTTTTTGATTTTTATTTGCTTTCTATTCTGTTTTATTGGAATCATATCGCTGTGCACACAGGTAAATAATTACTTTTAGTTTTTTAAATCCTAACTTAATATTAGTTTTTTTTATCCACAACGAGGAAGCTCTTGGCCTGTATCTCACCTGATGGTAAGTGATGATCAGGCCGAAGGTGGAAGCGAGCTTCACCTTCTTATTTATGCTCACTTGTACTCAGGTGAGTAAAAATGATAGCTACCTACCTATAACTGCAACATTCACCAGTTCTCGTCACTGTCTTAGCCACAGCAAGTGACAGGACTTTACGCTACACAGTGACGCCAAATGTAGAGCGTTAATACAGCAGCCCTTGTTTGTTTCTCAGTCAAATGACCTCCACTGCTGGACAAAGGCCTCCCCCAAAGATTTCCAAAACGATTGGTCCTATGATGCCCGCATCCTGGTATTATCTGCAACTTGCACCAGATCGCCGGTCCACCTAGTGGAAAGCCTGCTCTCATTACGCGCGGACATTTTCTGTCCCAGCGGCCATCAACTCTACGAGCTATGTGCCCCGGCCTCATTGGCAAAAGTAATGTAGGTTTCGAAGCTGAAGTCCTACTTGATGCTGAGATTTATTTAAACCGAATTTAAACCGCCTCTGTGGTCTAGTGGTAAGACCACCTGCTTCAGACGCAGAGGTCCCGGTTTCGATTCCCAGTGGGGGCAGATTTTTCTGTTCGGTTTGGTCGGTGGTAGGGCTTGTTCTAAGACCGCCTGGCTAGCTAACCACCATCTTACCTAAGTCTGTCGCCATAACAACAATGTTAACAGCATTGTTGTGTTCCGGCAGTTAAAGGTAAGATAGCCAGTTCCTCCGTGGTTGAGGATTACGGGTGCTCGCCTCCACCTTCGGCCTGATCATCACTTCCCATCAGGTGAGATACAGGTCAAGAGCTTCCTCGTTGTGGATTAAAAAAAAAGATGATTTACAATTATTTTCATAATAATTATCTCACAATAATCTACATTTACACAGGGCGGCTTATACATCCTGAACTTCCTAATGGACTGGCCGGTATCCAAGCCTCGCACGCTGGTAGCGGCCGCTGTGGGCGTGGTCGTGAGCTACGTGTACGGGCAGACCACGTTCTGCGAGGACGTGTACTTCGCCGTGGGGGAATATCCGGGGGTGTTCGTCAGGGTTTGCTGGGCGCTGTCACCTGTATTGCTTGTGGTAAGTTTTGATATGATTTGAGTAGAAGTCCGACGACCTGATAAAGGTAGCAGGAAGGCGCTGGATGCAGGCCGCTACCAACCGTGCGATGTGGAAGTCATTGGGGGAGGCCTATGTTCAGCAGTGGACGTCCTGTGGCTGAAATGATTGATGATGATGATTGAGTAGAAGTAGCTTTAAAGAGTAACTGCCGAAAGCCTGACGATTGGTGTTGGCGACTTTATTTAAAAAGAATCGTGTCGAAGACTTGCGTATGTGCTCATTTGCCTGGCGAGACTCGAAAATTCGTTCGTTTCAGCCAAATGACCAAGGATTTTTACGACTTCTTCTGCGCTGCCCGCATCCAGGAACTTCCCGCGACATTCACTAGATCGTCGGTTCACCTAGTAGGTCTCGTACGCTCGAAAATATACATCCTAAGCTTCCTAATGGACTGGCCGGTATCCAAGCCTCGCACGCTGGTAGCGGCCGCTGAGGTCGTGGTCGTGAGCTACGTGTACGGACAGACCACGTTCTGCGAGGACGTGTACTTCGCCGTGGGGGAATACCCGGGGGTGTTCGTGAGGGTTTGCTGGGCGCTGTCACCTGTATTGCTTGTGGTAAGTTTTGATATGATTTGAGTGGAAGTAGCTTTAAGGAGTTACTGCCGAAAGCCCGGCGACTTGGTGTCAGCGGCTTTATTCAAAAAGAATCGTGTCGGAGACCTGCGTATGTGCTCATTTGCCTGGCGACACTCGAAAATTTGTTCGTTTCAGCCAAATGATCAAAGATTTCCACGACCTATTCTGCGCTGACCGCATCTAGGTACTTCCCGCGACATTCACCTGATCGTCGGTCCACTTAGTGGGAGGTCTCGCAGCTCGAAAATACACATCCTAAGTTTCCTAAAGGCCTATTCAGACCTAAGCGGGATTCGCTACCGTCTGCGGCAGAGAAAACCCAGTGGGTATGCGGAAATAATACTGTTCAGACCTAAGCGGTATTCGCTACCGTCTGCGGCAGAGAAAACGCTCTAGCCGCGGTACTTGATACTTAATACCTGAGCGAAACCCGCGCGGTGTGTACCCACAGCGGCAGCGAATATCGCTCAGGTTTGAATAGGCCCGCTATCCAAGCCTCGCACGCTGGTAGCGGTCGTTTTAGGCATGGTCGTGAGCTACGTGTACGGGCAGACCACGTTCTGCGAGGACGTGTACTTCGCCGTGGGGGAATACCCGGGGGTGTTCGTCAGGGTTTGCTGGGCGCTGTCACCTGTATTGCTTGTGGTAAGTTTTAATATGATTTGAGTGGAAGTAGCTTTAAGGAGTTACTGCCGAAAGCCTGACGATTGGTGTTGGCGACTTTATTTAAAAAGAATCGTGTCGAAGACTTGCGTATGTGCTCATTTGCCTGGCGAGACTCGAAAATTCGTTCGTTTCAGCCAAATGACCAAGGATTTCCACAACCTATTCTGCGCTGACCGCATCTAGGTACTTCCCGCGACATTTACCAGATCGTCGGTCCATCTGGTAGGAGGTCTCGTAAGCTCGAAAATACACATCCTAAACTTCCTAAAGGCCTATTCAGACCTAAGCGGTATTCGCTACCGTCTGCGGCAGAGATAACCCAGTGGGTATGCGGTAATAATACTGTTCAGACCTAAGCGGTATTCGCTACCGTTTGCGGCAGAGAAAACGCTCTAGCCGCGGTACTTGATACTAAATACCTGAGCGAAACCCGCGCGGTATGTACCTCTACCCACAGCGGCAGCGAATATCGCTCAGGTTTGAATAGGCCTTATTGGACTGGCCGGTATCCAAGCCTCGCACGCTGGTAACGGTCGTTTTAGGCATGGTCGTGAGCTACGTGTACGGGCAGACCACGTTCTGCGAGGACGTGTACTTCGCCGTGGGGGAATATCCGGGGGTGTTCGTCAGGGTTTGCTGGGCGCTGTCACCTGTGCTGCTTGTGGTATGTCTATGCTTTGATATGCGATCAAGTTAACTGCGCACATTGCGGCCGTGACGTCACATCGACGCTCTGGAACGGACAGGGGTGTGCGGGTAAGTGGGAGGGAGTCGCATTCTAGCGAGGTGCGCAGTTAGCTCCATCGCAACAACTCGCTGCGTAGTCTTAAAACACTTTATACTGACATGACTGGGCTATAATAACAGGCACATGGTGGATTCTTAGGCCCAGAACAGACCTTATGAATGAAACTGAAACTGAAAGTTATGTGTGGTCTCTCAACAGACGCTATGGCAGAAACTTAGATGCAACTCATAACTAGCAGTTGCAGTTTCGTTTCACCGTCTGTTCTGGGCCTTAGAATCATCAGAAAGTTGCAGTTTCGTTGCAGTTGCGTTTCACCGTCTGTTCTGGGCCTTGACACATTGCTGATTGCTGAAAGCCTTGCCTCGGAATAAAATTAATGCCATTGCCAGGATGTTTATTCCTTTGCAGCTTTATTGATGCATAGCTCATGTTACTTCTGCTTCTTCTTAATCGTTTCACTCTTGGCAGTGCGGTCACGTTGAAGCGTTCACGTCGTTTGTAGAGGCGGTTATAGACCCAATATAGTACTGAACATTGACAGCGGGGCGCCACCGTCAATACCGGATTGCTGGTGCCGATTTTTGGCATGTTGGAAACTATCTAGTAGAACGATGGTGGCGCCCCGCTGTCAATGAGTTTGGTGGGACAGTTCAGTAATGGTCGTTTATACAGCTCGATACGATCTCCCGTCATCTCTTCCTGTTCGCTGGACTGCCACTGACTGGTTTCTATGTTCGGATAAATTCCTAACGAGTTGATAATGTCCCCCCATTGTTTCCTCAGATAATGTTCGTAGTCAGCATGGGGTCATGGCCAGCGGGCGCGGCGGCGGGCTGGATGTTGGTGGCGTTGGCACTGGCGCCACTTGTGCTGGTCATATTGTTCTATGCCGTCTTCAAGTGCCGCGTCAGGGTAAGCAAGCGTTTGGACGCAGACCACCGATTTTTAGTTCCAAAATACTGAACTGTCCTATCCATGACATTGACAGTGGGGCGCCACCGTCAATACCGGATCGCTGGTTTCAATTTTTGTCATGTTGGAAACCATATAGTTGAACGATGGTAGCGCCCCCCTGTCATTGAGTTTGGTGGGATAGTTCAGCGTGGGTCATCTATACGGTATCGGCCGATTGTTCATACAAATTAAAATCGGGCCCAACTATCGGCCAACTAAAAGTCGGTGGTCTGCGCCTAGGCTTAGGCTTTATCCCTTTATGCTATGAGGTTACAAACTGATTTTCGTCTTTATAAAATATGTAATTATGGTTCTTACTATAATTTGACTGTCCTTTGTTTCAGAATATTGTGGGGACTGAAAAATAAATTCGAAGTCCGGTGTAAAAAGGTGTACCTAGCATTACTTGCTGTGAANAATAAATATATTTCGGTACGAAACAAAAGTAAATAAATGTATCTCAAAAATCTTTAGAGTAGAATGGAAATGAATAACATAGCTTAACAGAATAGTTTTAAAAAAGGCTAAAATACACTCCATTTATTTAAATAATACATTTGGTAGGTACTTACCTACTTACTTTAGTTAAGGGGGTTGAAAAATTCGCCAAAACCGTGTCTGTTTTGGTCTTCTAGAGAACTTCTAAAATTTTAGTTAGAGTCCCATCTTTCTTTCCCTGACAGATCTGGCGCGACGCAGTGGAATACTCAATCATAGAGATGACCGTCTCCCAGGGTTCCCTCGTCATGCTGGGCTCATACTGCCCCAAGCAACAGCACAAGCTCGGCACCACGGCGTTGCTCGCGTTCGCCGCTTCGAAAACCAGTTCGATGTCGAGCGCTTTCATATTGGGAGCTGCCCACGGAGCGTTGCAGAAGGATTATGATGTTAACAACACTAACATTTGGGGCGGTGAGTCGTTATTTATTCAGTCCCATCGAGGTCCTTCTATGTATAGATAGTTTCATCCACCAAGACGCGCCCCACCATTCTTCCGCTAATGTTTGAGTGTTATCGGTACCACAGAATAAGTAAGTACCTAATTATCTATGAGTGCACACGCACACTACAATAATGAAGCTCGGATTGCTCGGACCAAACTCCCCGCATCCCGCGCTCCCCCGACCAAAAATTGGTGGGGAGCGTCTTCCGAGGATATAACGATCTATACCTCAGATCATATACTTTCCATTAATTTTGTTGCGGGTCCAATGACAGTAAGTATAACTTTCCCTCGGGACCTTGACCTTCATTGGTTGTCTTTTTATTGGTGATCAAGCTGTAGGAGCAAGATCCTGGCAACACAGGAGTTGCAGCTGTGGTAAGTGGAAATAGTCCCGTAATGAGTTATGCAACTTTAGGGAGGGATATCATCGATGTGCGTAGTAGGTATATAAGGGCTACCTTTTCTTTTTTATTATTTACTATATTTTGACGTTCATAAGTGCCACTTGTAGTCTAAAGTAAACTGAATAAATAATTATAATTTTGAGTGTCACTGAATAGGCGATGTCATGAAGTAAAGTAAGTAGGTAACTTACGTAGCGCTTCAACGTTGCCCGTGTCAAACCCTGGAAATTATTATTTTTTTATTGCAGGATCCTCCACATCGATGGTGATTTGGTCCGACTACGTGGCCAGGATACCTGGCAGTCAGTTCTGGTCGTGTCTTTTATTCTTCACAATGTTTGTTCTGGCAATCTCTTCAACGGTAATTTACTATTATGTATTTTTAGGTCCCTATGTATGCCCCTCTTTGCTGAAATAAATATTATTCTATGAGTAAGTAATTTAAACGAAATCTAGTACATTTTGATTTTTCTCGTTTCCAGGCTCTTCTGGTACAAACCATAATGTCAACGCTGACCGGCCATGCGATCCGAAAAATCACTTGGGCCTTTTTGATTTTTATTTGCTTTCTATTCTGTTTTATTGGAATCATATCGTTGTGCACACAGGTAAATAATTACTTTTACTTTTTTAAATCCTAAGTAATTAAACTTAATATGAGATAATATCTTTTTTATGCTCACTTGTAAGTACAAGTCAGTACTCAGGTGAGTAAAAATGATAGCTACCTACCTATATAAACTGCACCATTCACCAGTTCTCGTCACTGTCTTAGCCACAGCGAGTGACAGGACTTTACGCTACAGTGACGCCAAATGTAGAGCGTAAACACAGCAGCCCTTGTTCGTTTCTTCAGTCAAATGACCTCCACTACTGGACGAAGGCCTTCTCCAAGGATTTCCAAAATGACCAGTCTTGCGCTGCCCGTATCCAGGTACTTCCCAAGACCTTCACCAGACCGTCGGTCCACCTAGTGGAAAGCCTGCTCTCATTACGTGCGTCTTCTATGTCGGACATTTTCTGCCCCAGCGGCCATCAGCTCTACGAGCTATGTGCCCCGCCCTCATTGGCAATAAGTAATGTTGGTTTCGAAGCTGAAGTGTACCGCCTCTATGGTCTAGTGGTAAGACCACCTGCTTCAGACGCAGAGGTTCCGGGTTCGATTCCCAGTGGGCGCAGATTTTTCTGTTCGGTTTGGTTGGTGGTAGCAGGCCTGTTCATCTCCGCGAGTTTACATCGAAAACAAAACACGCACGATGGCCCACCTACAGGATACTATTCGACAAGGCCTCACATACGAGCGAACATTGACTCACGCACGCGTATTCTTGTGTATGATGGAAGAAAATAAAGAAAATGGTGTACTACATACTGTGCAGTATTTAACTGCCTAAATAATAATAAAAACACAGAATTTACTTTTTTAAGTTGCCTCAAGACACTGAGAGGTAAATAAGTAGTTAATATTATTCATGTTAGTTCATGCTAAATCATGTATTTTCTCCGCCATTTTCCGCAGTTTGGCACCTCAAGTCCCATCATTTTACCGAAGTCAGCCATAGGGCTGACTTCGGCCGAATTCGCCGAAGCTATAGAGCTTCGGCGCAGTGCCGATCACTGACGTTTGTCAACAAAATGGTGCTTGACTCTTGAGACAGGCTAAATTACACCATATTGTTAATGACATTGAGCATACATTTTTTTAAATACCTTCGCGAAGTAAAACTTCTGTACGTAGTACTTATTATTATTCTGTGGTGGTAGGGCTTGTTTTAAGACCGCCTGGCTAGCTAACCACTATCTTACCTAAGTATGTCGCCTTAACAACAATGTTAACAGCATTGTTGTGTTCCGGCAGTTAAAGGTAAGATAGCCAGTTCCTCCGTGGTTGAGGATTCCGGGTGAAGCTTGCTTCCATCTTCGGTCTGATCATCACTTCCCATCAGGTGAGATACAGGACAAGAGCTTCCTCGTTGTGGATTAAAAAAAAAAGATAATTTACAATGAATTTCATAATAATTATCTCACAATAATCTACATTTACACAGGGCGGCTTATACATCCTAAACTTCCTAATGGACTGGCCGGTATCCAAGCCTCGCACGCTAGTAGCGGCCGCTGTAGGCGTGGTCGTGAGCTACGTGTACGGACAGACCACGTTCTGCGAGGACGTGTACTTCGCCGTGGGGGAATATCCGGGGGTGTTCGTCAGGGTTTGCTGGGCGCTGTCGCCTGTATTGCTTGTGGTAAGATTTGATATGATTTGAGTGGAAGTAGCTTTAAGGAGTTATTGCCGAAAGCCTGGTGACTTGGTGTCGGCGGCTTTATTTAAAAAGAATCGTGTCGGAGACCTGCGTATGTGCTCATTTGCCTGGCGACACTCGAAAATTTGTTCGTTTCAGCCAAATGACCAAGGATTTTTACGACTTCTTCTGCGCTGCCCGCATCCAGGAACTTCCCGCGACATTCACCAGATCGTCGGTACACTTAGTGGGAGGTCTCGCAGCTCAAAAATACACATCCTAAGCTTCCTAAAGGCCTATTCAGATCTAAGCGGTATTCGCTACCGTCTGCGGCAGAGAAAACGCTCTAGCCGCGATACTTGATACTAAATAGCTGAGCGAAACCCGCGCGGTATGTACCTCTACCCACAGCGGCAGCGAATTTCGCTCAGGTCGCTCTAGCCGCGATACTTGATACTAAATACCTGAGCGAAACCCGCGCGGTATGTACCTCTACCCACAGCGGCAGCGAATATCGCTCAGGTTTGAATAGGCCTTAATGGACTGGCCGGTATCCAAGCCTCGCACGCTGGTAGCGGCCGCTGTAGGCATGGTCGTGAGCTACGTGTACGGACAGACCACGTTCTGCGAGGACGTGTACTTCGCCGTGGGGGAATACCCGGGGGTGTTCGTCAGGGTTTGCTGGGCGCTGTCACCTGTATTGCTTGTGGTAAGATTTGATATGATTTGAGAGGAAGTAGCTTTAAGGTGTAACTGCCGAAAGCCCGGCGAATTGGTGTCGGCGGCTTTATTCAAAAAGAATCGTGTCGAAGACCTGCGTATGTGCTCATTTGCCCAGCAACACTTGAAAAGTCCAATGACGTCTACTGCTGGACAAGACCTCCCTTAAAGATTTCCATAGTGACCGCTCCTGCGCTTCCCGCATCCAGGAACTTCCCGCGACATTCACCAGGTCGTCGGTCCACCTAGTGGGAGGTCTCGCACGCTCGAAAATATACATCCTGAACTTCCTAATGGACTGGCCGGTATCCAAGCCTCGCTCGGTGTGGTCGTGAGCTACGTGTACGGGCAGACCACGTTCTGCGAGGACGTGTACTTCGCCGTGGGGGAATATCCGGGGGTGTTCGTCAGGGTTTGCTGGGCGCTGTCGCCGGTGCTGCTTGTGGTATGTCTATGCTTTGATATGCGATCAAGTTAACTGCGCACATTGCGGCCGTGACGTCACATCGACGCTCTGGTACGGACGGGGGAGTGAGGGAGTCGCATTCCAGCGAGGTGAGCAGTTAGCTCCATCGTAACAAGTCGCTGCGTAGTCTTAGAACACTTTATACTCACATGAATGGGCTAACATAACAGCCTCATGGTAGATTCTTAGACACATTGCTGATAGCTGAAAGCCTTACCTCGAAATAAAATTAATGTTATATCCAGGCAGGATGACTGCTCCTTTGCAGCTTTGTTGATGCATAGGTCATGTTACTTCTGTTTCATCTTAATCGTTTCACTCTTGGCAGTGCGGTCACGTTGAAGCGTTCACGTCGTTTGTAGAGGCGGTTATAGACCCAATATACTGAACATTGACAGCGGGGCGCCACCGTCAATACCAGATTGCTGGTGCCGATTTTAGCCATGTTGGAAACTATCTAGTAGAACGATGGTGGCGCCCCGCTGTCAATGAGTTTGGTGGAACAGTTCAGTAATGGTCGTTTAAACGGTGCAGTCCTGTTGTCCCCCCTGCTTGGCCCCCCTGGGGGAGCCAACAGGATTTCGAAATCCTGTTGTCCCCCCTGGCTAGGGGAGACAACAGGACTGAATTTTCAATCAATGATTTGAGGACTGTTGTCCCCCCTGGCAAACATTGAGTATTTAGAAGCCATATATTTTTATAATTTTTAAGATGAACTGAAAATGAAGTACCTTACTGAATGTCATACTTATTGCCAAACTAAATACCTAAACGAATGTCAAATAATAATTAACATTTTGGTAACGAAAAAAATATAAGTTGTTGGTACCGGCAGTACCGGTATCCGAAATCTGCTTTACTATCTTTTAACAAATCTTTATGAATTATCCCTACTAAATAATGTTAAGTGAATGCGAAAAACTTTATCTCTCTGTCTGTTACGAATTCACGCCTAAACCATTGAACCGATTTTGATATTTGGTAAAGAGATAGTTTTGAATCTGGGATTTCCCGGGAAAGGACGTGGGATAGTTTTTATGCCAGTTTTTGAAACAGGAAGGCGCTCTTATATTTTTTTCTGTGACAGACAAAATTTTACGCAGACAAAGCCGTGGGCATAAGCTAAGTTAAAGGTATCGTTTCACTCTTGGCAGTGCGGTCACGTTGAAGCGTTCACGTCGTTTGTAGAGGCGGTTATAGACCCAATATACTGAACATTGACAGCGGGGCGCCACCGTCAATACCAGATTGCTGGTGCCGATTTTAGCCATGTTGGAAACTATCTAGTAGAACGATGGTGGCGCCCCGCTGTCAATGAGTTTGGTGGAACAGTTCAGTAATGGTCGTTTAAACGGTGCAGTCCTGTTGTCCCCCCTGCTTGGCCCCCCTGGGGGAGCCAACAGGATTTCGAAATCCTGTTGTCCCCCCTGGCTAGGGGAGACAACAGGACTGAATTTTCAATCAATGATTTGAGGACTGTTGTCCCCCCTGGCAAACATTGAGTATTTAGAAGCCATATATTTTTATAATTTTTAAGATGAACTGAAAATGAAGTACCTTACTGAATGTCATACTTATTGCCAAACTAAATACCTAAACGAATGTCAAATAATAATTAACATTTTGGTAACGAAAAAAATATAAGTTGTTGGTACCGGCAGTACCGGTATCCGAAATCTGCTTTACTATCTTTTAACAAATCTTTATGAATTATCCCTACTAAATAATGTTAAGTGAATGCGAAAAACTTTATCTCTCTGTCTGTTACGAATTCACGCCTAAACCATTGAACCGATTTTGATATTTGGTAAAGAGATAGTTTTGAATCTGGGATTTCCCGGGAAAGGACGTGGGATAGTTTTTATGCCAGTTTTTGAAACAGGAAGGCGCTCTTATATTTTTTTCTGTGACAGACAAAATTTTACGCAGACAAAGCCGTGGGCATAAGCTAAGTTAAAGGTATGCTATTCTCATGTATAAAAAATAATATTATCTTCTGTAAAGTTTACTAAAAATCCGTTTAGTAGTTTTTAAATACGTGAAAGAGTATCAAACATCCATATTCCATACTCACAAACTTTGACATTTATAATATTAGTAGGTAGGACGCCAAAACTGCATAATTTTAAATTAATCATAATATTCAACACTTGCTCAGTGATTCAACTAGCAGCCGCCCGCGACTTCGTATGCGTTGAATCTGTTTCACCCCCTTAAGTGTGGAATTTCGTAAAATTATATTATATCCTTTGTATTAAGGATATGAAATATCATATCCTTAAATAAATAGTTAAATAAAATCCGTTCTTGGCAGATGTCTACACTCTATAAGGAACCTACCTGTAAAATTTTAAGTTTGTAGGTGTCAGTATCGGCACCAACACCTATTTTTTTCGTTATCAAAATGGTAATTATTATTTAACAAACGGTTAGGTATTCAGTTTGGCAATTTGGCATTCAGTCAAGTACTTCAGTATTTCAAAAATTATGTTATAACTACAATTAATAATAATATATGGCTTTTAAATCATGTTTGCCAGGGGGGACAACAGTCCTCAAATCATTGATTAAAAATCTAGTCCTGTTGTCTCCCCTAGCCAGGGGGGACAACAGGATTTCGAAATCCTGTTGGCTCCCCCAGGGGGGCCAACCAGGGGGGACAACAGGACTGCACCGTTTACAGCTCGATACGATCTCCCACCATTTCTCCCTGTTCGCTGACTGCCACTGACTGGCTTATCTTCTAAATATATAAAAGGAGAAACTGACTGACTGACAGATCAACGCACAGCCTAAACAGATAAACGTAGGCACTTGAAATTTGGCAGGGACGTAGCTTAGGTACCGTAGAGGTGCACTAAGAAAGGAATTCCCGAAATTCCCACGGGAACGGGAATTATAGGGAAAATCCTTTTGTATGAAAAAATCTAAACCGCGTAAGATAGATGAAGGGGGTAAAACGGGATCCCCGCGTACGAAGTCGCGGGCGGCCGCTAGTGTTCAGTTAAATTCCTAACGAGTTGATAATGGTCCCCCATTGTTTTCTCAGATAATGTTCGTAGTCAGCATGGGATCGTGGCCAGCGGGCGCGGCGGCGGGCTGGATGTTGGTGGCGTTGGCACTGGCGCCCCTTGTGCTGGTTATATTGTTCTATGCCGTCTTCAAGTGCCGCGTCAGGGTAAGCAAGCGTTTAGACTAGGCGCATACCACTGATTTTTTGTCGGCCGACAGTTTAGCCGGGCATGTATGGAAGTTGCGCACATTACACAGATATAGTTCCAAAATACTGAACTGTCCTATCCATGACATTGACAGTGGGGCGCCACCGTCAATGCCGGATCGCTGGTTTCAATTTTTGTCATGTTGGAAACCATATAGTTGAACGATGGTAGCGCCCCCCTGTCATTGTAAGATGTACCTACCTACTAACCTAGTAATTATGTATCTTGGTTGGAGGCCTGGTGCTCTAAGATACAGGCAGGATTCTGCCTAGTTTAGACACCAGTCTCCCACAGACAAATGTATCAAACTAAATTTAAGACTAGTTTTAAGAATCTGTTTGTGGAGAGAAAATAAATATATTTATTATTATTTATTTAATTAAGTTTGGTGGGACAGTTCAGCGTGGGATCGGCCAATTGTTCATACAAATTAAAATCGGGCCCAACTATCGGCCAATTAAAAGTCGGTGGTCTGCGCCTAGGCTTAGGCTTATCCCTTTATGCTATGAGGTTACAAACTGATGTTTGTCTTTATAAAATATGTAATTATGGTTCTTTTATTATAATTTGACTGTCCTTTGTTTCAGAATATTGTGGGGACTGAAAAATAAATTCGAAGTCCTGTGTGAAACTATGTAATTTGGAAGATTGTGTTAATTTATAATATTATGAAGACTGAACTGTATTCAATAAAACATTAAACTTTCTGAATGACACCATATTTTATTCACAAAATTTTCATAACACCAATTTGTTACCAAAATAAAGGATTATTTTTATAATTAGTCATACACACATATGCACATAACAACTTATAGCGTTGATCGTAATAGGTATTGCCACTGTATGTAATGATGATTTTTTTGTCTTTTTATATTTCGTTCGAAGCATTATCTATTACGGCCAACCGGAGTATTTTTTACACAATATTTCAAATAAAATATTTTCAAACAAAAAATACAAATCCAGTTGTGTTCCATTGGGGAAAAAACACTCCTAGGTAATACAGCCTTGGATCTTATCACTAAAATTAACTGTAACTTAAATAATGAACCTCTCATATAAAAATAATAATAAAATTAATGTTATGCATATTACATACCTCTCTAGAACCTAAGTAGATAGACCGCCAACGTGTTTCGTTTAGTTTTGTTATCCCATTTGTATAACTATGCATATTTTTATAGTCTATTGCACATTTTTAAAAGCAATAAAGAGCCATTTCGTATAAATTCACGTCTGTTAAGGTAACGTCTAAAATATTCGATAATAAATCAGTAAATAATTGCACCAAAGGAATTTGATGGGGACTAGATGGTTGAGTTGTTAGTTATATTGTTCATATAAAAATTCGGTATTAAATCATTCAAAAACTTGTCATTCATTGTTTTTGATACATGCAAAATGTTTGCCTGAGCTGTATTAAAATGAAAAATATTGTAAAAAAGATGAGATGAAATGCATAACATTGGCATCTCGGTCACCCTTGAGACTGTAACACGGACGATTGTGCTAAGAGAGCAATTATTAATTTCTATGTTTTATTAAAAATACATTTTAACATTACAAACTCCTTAGTAATTAATATTACCTAAAAGATAAGCTCTCACATCAAATAATTCCGTAAGCAGTAGTTTAAAAAGCTGTTGATGACACTGTTATACTGCAAATTAGTAAAATCTTACGGTGACGCGGCAAACAATCATTGTAAACATAATGTTAAAATTCTCTCATTCAATGCATTCAGATACTTATTAATAAAACACCTATGTGATCATAAGAATTGTAAGCGATCGTGTTGGCACGTAGCGTCAATAGTGAACCTAGGAAGCTGCACTTTCTCTAAATAAAAACTAAACGATATTTCGATTTCACTCGCTAATATTTTGATCAGTTATTTAAAAACTATTATCAGGAACGTTCACTAATGATAAACTCTTTAAACTAATGTACATAATGTAACAATTTTATAATCTACACAGAAATAATTTATACTAAATAATGAGTTGATCAGATGAAAAATCAATGATTGAATGATTTTTTTTTCGGGACGACAAGTAATTCTATATAAATTATAGTGAATATACATGTTATAAGATTCACATTTATTATTTTAAAGTCAAGTGTTTAAATATCAGTGCTAGCTGTCATTTATAACAGTAGATGTCCTAATAGCTATGTCACAGCCAACTGCGAAAGGATCATTCAATACATAGTTATAAATGCCTGAGTTAGCTAGTAGAAACATTAATTCTAACAGATTGTGAATCAGAGTAGAAGTGTAATCAACCGCAGATGTTGATAGTCAGCGTCAAATAGTTCGCGACACCCAAAATGACCAAAAATTTGACAACATAATCTTATTCCAATGTAACAGACGTGTCGCGAGCTTTTTAGCTACTTTGGGTGTCACAAGCGATTTGACGCTGACTGTAAACGGACGCTCATTTGATACCTCACGGTAATATCTTAGACACTAAACATAACTGTAGACGTCACAATATTCGAAATAAGGCTTTGTAAATACAAAAATATGACTGGTTAACTACAGAGTCCCGCTCAGATTAAAACACGTTTTTACAATTTCTACTCAGATCGACAATCACAAGAGGTTCGTTACAAACATAGACTATTAACTATTTCAATAAATACGCAACATAAGACACTTAACTAAAAAAAGGCAGTTACGATAAAACCTTACTCGCTACTGTGCTCCTTCTACAATGGCAGATGCTTGGAGACCCTGCGTTCAGTCTTTCACACAACATTTTCTGTGGACTACACCCCACCTTCAAGTGCAAACTGTCCATTTAACTTTATGAAATTACAAAGCAACCGAATGGAGTTCATTCGTTTTTGATCTGTCTGTCTCAAGCGGTTTTTATCCGTATTTGGACTCTGACCTTACTAGGTTTCGAGTGTAGTACACACAAAAACAAGAGGCTAGTTCGTGCAAACCTATTTTGAGACTGCAATGACCTTGTGGTTGTAGATTACTAGTTTTGTGCAGCTACGAGACCGTACGCCTTGTAAATACGATTTGTTCTGACTTGGAACAATCAGTAAATAGATGGCGTTAAATAAATTATATATGTATAGGTTTTACTTTATAGATTGTGCATGGTATGTTGAATTCTGTAGCCCAAAGCCATAGCTTGGATGTCAAGATTTTGACCAAAACACAGGACTCTTAATTTACAAACCCTGGTTATTCCTATGCACCTGTTTTTCATCAGTGCTGTGTGAATTATTGTATTGATTTTATTCAATCAAAATCAATATACAGCTACAAGGCAGGATTTTTAAATAATATGTTTGGGATCAACACTATATTCCTAATAATATAAAAATGTGAGTTCCTTCAAATACTGCAGATTTAACAATAACATACATATTCCTGTATTTTTACNGTTTTTATATTAACAGATTAATTTTCTTAAAGATTCGTTGACTTTCTTACGTCTTTATGTTCCCTGTCAAGGTACTAAGAGGAAGTGTATAGCAAACATGAATTACAATAGTTATTGCCTGTTTTCATCACGTAATTACTCTATGCTATGACCTACCCTCAATCCAAATAGAATTAACAACCAAGTTATACATATAAAAAGCTTAGCAAGTTAGTAAATAAATTTGTATCAGAAATTATCATACAAAACTAAATCTATTTCGTTTCATTATCATAATAGTTAAATTGACTAATTTTAAGACTAAAATATTCTTCATACATTTGGACACACACCAAACTGGTTAAGATATCATTTATCCTAACAATGTATCGGCATTTTTTAAACACCTTAAGTAGAAAAGCTCTAATTTAGTAGCAATTTTAAATGATATCCATACTTTTTGGTCAATTTTGTAATAGCAAAATATTATCATTCAAACACTAAATAAGGCATGATGTATTGCCTTCATCACTCAAGGAAGGATATTTACACCCAAATATCACGCGTTTTAGACAACAACTTTACCGTGAGATCAAATGGTTAGAAGATGATCTTCGCACTAGCTCAAACCACTAAACCAATCCGCTTTACAATATAGATAATAAATTACATAGTAAAATTTTGTATACCCAACAGTTCAGCTAATATTTAATTCGTATTCTCGGACAAATGAAAAAGAAACGTAGATATCGAGTCGATTTTGAATAATATTAAAAACAGACATTCCCCACGTAACTTAGTAACTGCGAGACGATAGAATAATCTATTTATATTTAACACTTACATCCGTTATAACAATATTATACAGACTACCAACGATCCGTCGATGTTATCACCGTCCATATCACATGTAACAAGTCACCGCTTGCCTTGTTTAGTCCGTCCGAGCACCGATTCTTTGAAACACTATCGCGAGGCTGACACTCACTAAAGACCGCGCGAGCCCACTTTGTATTTAGCTTCGACGTGAACATACAACACTGGCCAGTGTTGCCACAATGCGAATTGCAACATCGATTTTACAATCGAAAATTCGACATTTTACATGGTCCCCGTCATATCGCTTTTGTACTTTGAAGCCATAAATATATTTCCGTATACAATCAAGTCTATGTATAGCAGTGTGAAATCTATGTTTCAATCAATTGCCATAACATGCGCATTGAACTAAATACACAGTGAAATCACAACTGTACAGAATAATCATAACAATTCCATTTTTCTTTCGTGATGTCTCAGCCTACAATCTGTACGGTCCCTAAATTACATTATCAATTATTTCTAGGACGAAATATTTCAATCAATATACATAATCTTCCTCACAATTATAGATACACAGAAATGTAATTTCATGCAGAATACATATTGTATTCACTTGAGAAAATTCACATTTATTGTGACTATACACCAATACTAACGTGATCATTAACAGAACCACTAAGAAAGAATACGTATTTTGAATGTTTATATACGACTACCATGTTTTTTTTACATTTTTTTATAATTTATAACACCATAATTCCATATTG